GGGTGGGATCAAGAGCAGGTGGGGGGAGAGGGGGGAGCTGGAGCATGGACGGGAGGATCCGTGGAGATCCCCGGCTAAAAGGGAGGAGGGAGCCCATGGGTGGGGAGAGACGCAAGGGGAGACCTAGGGGGTGGCTCAACCAAGCTAGGGCAAAAGACTGAGACCCCTGGGGGGGAGGGGGAGTGACGTGGAGCAGGTGGAAGGAGGATGAAAAGGTTGTGGAGGAGCTGATGGGAATGGGAGGGTTCAGATGAGGAATTAAAGCTGTCCCCGGCTAAAAGGGAGGAGGGAGCCCATGGGTGGGGAGAGACGCAAGGGGAGACCTAGGGGGTGGCTCAACCAAGCTAGGGCAAAAGACTGAGACCCCTGGGGGGGAGGGGGAGTGACGTGGAGCAGGTGGAAGGAGGATGAAAAGGTTGTGGAGGAGCTGATGGGAATGGGAGGGTTCAGATGAGGAATTAAAGCTGGTGCATAGCCCAGAACAGAGAATTCTGGAGGGAGAAGGAGAAAGGGACTGTGGTGCTATAGGTCAGTAGATATTTGAGCAGTGGAGTGTTCTGGAGGGAGACTGAAGGTCAAAAGGATGGAAATCTTTCAGTGGGTGCAAGAGTGTAGGATGGGGTAGGCAATATTTTGTATGGGGAGGGGGGGCACTCCAAGATTTTGGAAAGTGGTCATGGGCGGGGGTGATATTAATGGAGGAGGTGCAGGGGCTGGGATGGAGGCTGGGTGGAGCAGGGATTGGGGTGCAGAAGGGAGAATGGAGGCTGGGAGGGAGATTGGGTAAAGGAGGTCATTGTGACCTAGGTCAGGGGACTAGAGTTTGGGAAGTGACCTATGTTAGGAGGGGATTGTGATCTGGGTCAGGAGACTGAGGTGCCAGATATGGATGCAAAAGGGAGGCAGAGGATTTGGGTATGTTGACTGGGTGGGGCAGAGGATTGGGGAAGATGGGAGCTGGAGTGCCAGAGGCAGGTTCTGGCCAGGAGACTTACCAGCCAGCAGCCGAGAAAGGGACTGTGGTGCTATAGGTCAGTAGATATTTGAGCAGTGGAGTGTTCTGGAGGGAGACTGAAGGTCAAAAGGATGGAAATCTTTCAGTGGGTGCAAGAGTGTAGGATGGGGTAGGCAATATTTTGTATGGGGAGGGGGGGCACTCCAAGATTTTGGAAAGTGGTCATGGGCGGGGGTGATATTAATGGAGGAGGTGCAGGGGCTGGGATGGAGGCTGGGGGGAGCAGGGATTGGGGTGCAGAAGGGAGAATGGAGGCTGGGAGGGAGATTGGGTAAAGGAGGTCATTGTGACCTAGGTCAGGGGACTAGAGTTTGGGAAGTGACCTATGTTAGGAGGGGATTGTGATCTGGGTCAGGAGACTGAGGTGCCAGATATGGATGCAAAAGGGAGGCAGAGGATTTGGGTATGTTGACTGGGTGGGGCAGAGGATTGGGGAAGATGGGAGCTGGAGTGCCAGAGGCAGGTTCTGGCCAGGAGACTTACCAGCCAGCAGCCAAACCTGCCTGCCTGCCCAGCCATGTGCCTTTGTGGCTAACTGAGCCAAGAAGGGTGGGGGGAGGGGGTTCTTCTTGGCTGCCTGTTATTCAAATAGTTCCTGAAGCTTTCCTCCATCCCCTCCAGTTTTTAAAAAGAAACAGGGCTCAGCAGCCATGTTTCTGAGTGGCATGCAGGGGCAAGCAGGGGAGCCTGCCTGGAGCTCCTCATTGGCTGAATTTTTCCCAGGCCTAGTATAGGAGCCATAGGAGTCCTTGGGGGTGTTTGGAAGGGTGATGGGGAGCCCTTTGCGGGAGGGAATGGAGAGCTGGGTGGAAGAGGGCTGGAGGTGAGCCAATACCAGGGCAAAGCAGTAAAAGATCCTGAATTGAAGAAGGAATGGACCTTGCATCAGGAGGGAGACATGGGGTCTCGGGGCCCTGAGATGATGGTGGGGAAACTTCAACACGCTTCCATTTCTCACACTGTACAGGTTTGAGCAGGAGGTGCTGGGGGCCCCTGTTTCCCTCCCTCCTGGGGCTCCAGTGGTTGAGGCTGTTCCAGTAGCTCTGGCAGTGCCAGCTGTGCCCGCGGTGCCCCCAGTCCCAGTGATCCGGCCCATTATTGCCACCAACACCTACCAGCAGGTAAGGCACTGACTTGTCCCTCACCAAAGGCCATGAGCAGCACAGGGGTGGTGCTGGGTGCAGCTGCTGTTTGTTGCGCAGAAATGCAATGAGAGAATGTATTTGGTGGCAGCCAAGAGATTAAAAAACAGATTCCCTGGGCACATGCTGGCCACAGCCATGACTTGGGCTCTCTGTGACTCCACTCTCCCTGTCCCCCATTTGTACCCTGCCGCCACTGCTGCATGTCCATCTTGCCTGCTCAGGGGTAAGTGGTGACACCCCTCACTAGGGAATGAGTGCTCCCCTCCTCCTGCTTATTATATGTACATATGCCCACCCAAAGTACCTTTTCCTCCAGGTTAGTAAATCAACGTAATGGCGTCTCTCGTTGACCTCGGGGGACAGGTTGTGCGTGTGTCTCTCTCCCACATTGGCTTTTTGCGGGCTGTGCTTGTAGGTTGCTTTGTTAGTGGTGGAGTAAATTGTGGCGGAAATGTCATGAAATGCAAAACACCTCTCTCCATTGTGACATTCCCTTATTTGTGTTGCAGTAGCTCCTACAGTCCTATTCATTACTAGGCTGGGAAGGAATTGATTTTTTTTACTTGCAAATGCTGAAAAGATTTTTCCATGCATGATAGTCAAAATTTACATTCAAAGTAAGCAAAATTAGCTTGACAACTTATTTGATTTAAGGTTGTTTACTTTGCATATTTTGAAATGTGATGTTGACAGGTTGTGTTTTAACTGTTATAAACTTATAACTTTTTGAATCTCAGCATCTACTGTTGGTAAATAAATGTCCGACTTCTGATAATTTCCTGCAACTGTGGAAATTTAAATGGATAAATTGTGTGTGTATCGGGGGGGATCAATATTAGTATCATAACTGTTTTTAAAAAAATCAAATTCTGCCATGTGTGCAGGGCTTCTCCTAGGTGCTGTACAAATACACAATGAAACAGACATTCCTTCCCCAGGAGATTTAAAATTGTGTGCAACTAGTTGGGAACAAATGTTCCCAAATAACTTCCGTGTTTGCATGTTCCCAAGTGAATAAAGGTGTTCACATAGGAATAGGTACTGCGCTTTTAAATTCACACCCTTCCTTGGGGGTTTTCAACCTGGGGATCTGCAGACTGTCTAAGCTTTCCAAAGAGGTCTGCATCTCCAGGTTTTTTAGGGGACTGTAAATGAAGAAAAGTTGAAAGCTGTTGCCCTGTCTTGTTCTAGACTTGTCTACACAGAGAAGTTTAAGGATGTCTTGTTCCTGTTTAGCTTAATCCAAATAAATCTTTGGTGCATACAATCCACCGTGGTCCTTGGGAGCAAGTTTGTTGATGTCTCCTTACTGGCAGATGCTTGACTCAGATATGAGTGATTGGGCTCAGGACAGTGGGAGCTAGCTTAAATTTTCTAGCCTGTGTTAGCCAGGCGGTCACACTTGCTCTAATGGTCTCTTTTGATCTTGGAACCTGCATGAGAAGCAGTAGCCGCAGCACAAAACGTGGGTCGCCATGTCCTTGCCCTGGCTGGCTGTACCCCTGTTTTGTATAGTTGTGGGTTGGCAGTAGGGATGGTAGCAACTGGCCAGCTAACCAATAAGCAGGAGCACTGTTGACTAGTCCCATCCCCCCGGCTGCCACTCTGCTTTGCACAGCACAGGGAAACTGGCACAGAGATGCTGGGTCAGTCCCTGCTCCGTGGGTCTTCTAATAAGAGACTCCCCTGGGCCGTGTGATACAGAGCAGCAGCTGGGGAGGAGGGGGGTGTTATGCTCAGTGATAAGCGACCCCCGGAGCAGGGACTGACCCAGCTTCCCTGGGCTGTGGGATGCAGAGCAGCAGCTGGGGAGGTTATGCTGTGAACTGGCACGAGCCAGACTGTGCTGGAACTGCTGACCCTTATCAACTGCTCGAGTAGTAAATGAATCACATTTTAACATCCCTAGTTGGCAGGAGCTTGGTGCATCCAGACTGGCTGGGATCCAGCCTGCTAATAGGCTGTGCCCAGGTGTCAGTACCATGCTCCACTGTGGGTCCCTGGCTCTGCTCATGGCTGTGGGGTTGTAGAGGCCAGGGGTGTGGCTGAGCCGAAGCTAAATTAACCCTCCACTCTTATGCCAGGTTTGACAGGGCAGCTGAGGGGAGTAAGTCCCCCTGGTCCTGTGCCCTTTAACCTGCTGCTCCTTTCTTCAGCTGGCCAGCGACTTCCTGGGGAGGTGGGGGCTATGTCACCTGAGGCCGGTGAGCCTCCAGACAGATGTTTCAGGGCAGGGGCCTGGGCAGAGGTGGGTGTTCCTCCTGCACTAGCCCAGGTGCCTCTCCCCCAGAGGTATTGCAGAGTTCTGTTGTGATCCCTCCCTCCCTCTGGGGCAGCTGGCAGTGGCCACTGTCGGCAGATAGGACACTGGGATGGATGGACCTTTGGTCTGCCCATTGTGGCCATTCTTATGTCTACATTGACCTTTGGTCCTGTGTCCGTTCTGCCCCAGGTCCAGCACTGCTGCAGCCACCGTCGTGGCCCCCATTGTTGCCCCCCCGGTGCCGTTTGTGGGACCAGGTAGGTAGCGAGTCTCGGGGGCCTGGTGTCTGGCTGCACCTGGCCCGTCTGAGATTCCAAGGCAATGTCTGTTCTTTCTCTTTTGAGTGAACTTCAGCGCTGGCGAGAGGTGCCGGATCGACAGCCCCGAGAGCCGAAGCCCCCTCTTCATCCGCAGGGCAGGTACGGAGACAGGGCAAAAGTCCCCCCGTACCTCACCGCCTGGAGGGAGGCTCTGTGATGAGCTGTTTGTGCCAGCTGGGTGCTGGGTTTGCTGGGGCATCAATACCGCTGGGGACTGCCAGGGGGCCCAGCAGCTCCACTTCATAAATGGGGCAACTGAACTGTCGTCTCTAGGGCGCAACTTTATCCTGTATCTAGCAATGGGCCCTTCTAAGCGGATATCCTGCTGCCACGGATCAGACCCGTGGCTGCCTCCCTGCCGTCTGCATCAAACCAGCAAGTCCACCTAGCGAGGTCTCCCGCTTCCGCCAAGTGACCTACACCAGCCGCTGGTCCCCGTTATGGAGTAACCTGCTCTTGGGAAAAGTTTGCTCCTGAAGAATCCTGTACAAAAGCTGCGCACCACCCCAGAGGCAGCTGCACTGTAACCCTGCCCTGGGGACTCCAACAGAGGATTTCCAAGCCCTTTAGCACCGTAGCGTCCAACCTCTTCGGAAGCGGTAGCCGCTCTAGGGGCTGCTGCTGTAGTGAACTAGCCACCCTCAATGGGCCAAATAGCCACTAGTGGCTAGCGCGTTGGAGGCTGCATACGCAGTCGTCGTTCTCTGTGGTGAGATGCACCTGTCTCTAGGGTAGAGCACAGCAGCTGTATCCGCAGGGCCATGTCATCACTGAGTGAACGAGGACTGTGCAGCATCTGAAGGGCTGTGGGAAGCGTCAGCTGCAGAGGTGTAGCAAGATGCTGTGTGTGTTCTGTCGGCTGTGCTGATGTGACCAGACGGGGGTGGGGATGAATCCAGCTCAGTCAGCGGTGAGCTGTGACTCAGTTTGCCCAGTGTTTGCGACATGTTTGTGGACACCTGCCCTCCAGCTGGGGGAGGGGATTCTGGCTGTCATCTTCCTTCTCTCCAGACGCTGGATGTAACTGTGCGATCCCTGTACAGAATCGGGTTTGGGTTGATGGATATTAACACGGTCCCTCCTCCAAAAGCAGCTGTCTAATCAGCCAGGATGCAACTCCCTCAGTGCTCCACGATTCCTGAGCAATGCTGCCTTATGGCCTGCAGTCTAGAAGGGGTTTTCCCCTAATGATCTATTCCAGAGCTGGTACGCATGGACTGTCTGTGTGTAATGCTGTAGCACCCCTCAGCTGAGATCGGAGCCCCCTTGTGCCAGGCACTGTTCAGACCCAGCTGGATACAGGCCCTGCCCAGCTGGGATCAGGGCCCCGTTGTACCAGGCGCTGCCCAGGCCCAACCAGAGACAGGCCCTGCCCCAGTTGGGATCAGGGTCTCGTACCAGGAGCTGCCCAGGCCCAACCAGTGACAGGCCCTGCCCTGGAAAGCTCTCAGGGCAACTGGACAAAACAAAGGACAGACCATTCTCTTAGTTTTTCAGGTGAGGAAACTGAGGCACAGAGAGTCACATGTAACTTGTCTGCGGTCACGCAGGGAGCGTGCGGCCTTGCTGGGAATTGAATCCACCCCTCACAAGACCCAGCCTGGTGCCTTAACATAAAACCGTCCTTCTCGCCCTCTGCAGTTGTCCCTCCACAGAGGCCTCCCATCCTTCGGCCAGCCTTTGTGCCTCACGTCCTGCAGCGATCCGGTAAGTGTCCTTCGCCAGCCCCATCTTTGCACCAGGCTCCATGCCGGGAGACACCGAGTCTGACGTTGGGTTGAATTAAAAGTTCCGTCCTGAGTTTTCCTGATAAGATTCTTGCAGAAAAAAGCCCCCAGGCCACCTTATAAACCCTGAGACTGGCAGTCTGGTGTGGCCAAGGGACTGGGGAGGGTGGTCCCTAAGATGGTCAGAGGAAATGACCGTCGAGCACGAAGGGGAAGCCTGTTATCCTAGCGACTTTTGCCCTTTGCTCGCTTTTTTCCTTGAACTTCCCAAAGCCCAGGGGAGGGTGGTCAGTTTCACTTCCTGTTGGGTCAGTTTCACTGCCTAGATTTGGCTAGTCCCGGAATCAAATCTATGTGGGAAATCCCGTTGCCACAGAAATGAAACGCCCCTGTCTGTCTGTCTGTCTCTCAGCAGGTGCTCCCAGGCCCCTGGCAATGCGCCCGCCTCACCACCCTGCTATGGTGGGGCCCCCCATGCCCGGTCCTCAGGGCCCACAGATGATGATGGGCCCCCCCATGCAAAGGCCCCCTGGCCCACCCCTAGGGCCCATAGGACCGATGAGGACTGGCCCTCCGGTGAGTGTGTTTCCTGCAGTGGGGGGGAGGCGTCGGCCGAGGGGAGAGTTGGCTGTTCCTGTGACAGGGTGGTGGGCAGAGAGGGTGCCTTCCTCCAGCAGTCGTGTAACCCCAGACAGTGCTAGGGGGCGCTGTGCTGCAGGGAGGAGGAAGGGCTCTGAACAGACACATTTATGCCCCACCCCAGAGGCAGCAGCACGTCAGCACGGGGTGCATCATCGGCTTTGACGGGCCTGTATCCTGGGCTCTCAGCAGCTGGACAGACCCATGCTGGGGAGCCAGCGTCTGCATTCGCCCCTTTAACAGCCTCACTGTCGCTGCTTTCTAGGTGGGACCCGGGGTCCCCGTCGGCCCGATCACACCTCTCATGTCGGT